AAGAGTTACGATTACCAAGCATCCAACGAATCAATTACAACGAATAATTAAAATTTCTTTCTGCAACAAAGAAGAAAGAGATCATGCTTGTACAGTACAATTACCTAAATTGGAAAATCACACGTTTCTTTCACTCAAAATTACTCTGTCACATCCATTCATTCCAGCCCAATCGATTAAGGTTACAGAAATCCCCTTAGACATCACTGTACACCAAATTAAAATTGTCTTTTCTAAATTTGAAATGATCGTCAAGTTCAATATGAAAACTAAAAACAAGTGGCAACAAGCTACGATTACATTTGCGGAAAACACTGACTTTAAGAAACTTGCAGCATGTCATGGCATTTTCGTTCTAAATGATATGGTCAGAATGCCTTACCAAAAAAAAATGTCCTTGCTAAATCAAAATTTTCTGCAAAATTGGCAGGTCTTCCTAGGTTTACTATGGGGAAACAACTCTTAGACATCGGCTATATGGTCAATGCTTTAGCCTGAATTATACCTAAAGCATATTCTAACTATTATAACTTACAACACGCCTTTTTCTATTTCCCCTCAGCTGATGATTTGGAAGCGGCTCTAAGTAATGAAAATTTCACGATCAATGGGAAACACGTGACTTGAACTTTTGCAAATGCGAAACTTTGTGTGATTTGTTCATCACCTCATCACAAAGCAAGTGACTGTCCTAAAAAAAGAAAGCAACCAGCTGATTGTAATGTTCAAATCTTTACTAGCGTTTTCATCCAGCCCAATTTTCAAACTACAGAATTCCAAAAAAGATGAGAGGCGCAGTAAATCCTGATATCACGTTTGCTGATGCTACTAAAAGACAAAATGATAAAGATAGCACTCCATCCAACCCAACCCCACCGAAACATGGTAATGGTTCTCCTAACACTAATAAGACCGCAAACTCATTGGCCATGAATCCTTCTTGGTCCGATGATGTTTCCTACAATACCGATGAAAGCCTGCGTATTGATCAATTTATTTATCCTTCACCTACTGGCAATCTTGCCAAAGGTACGAAAGCTGAAGGATTCATGTATAATAATACTAATGATGACGTAAAAGCTTTCATTTCTTCACAATTCTCTAATCTCGAAAAACAGTTATTAGAAATCATGCACACTCTCGAATTTACTGTTAAAAGAGTTGAATCAATTGAAAAAGTCTTGAACGTTAAGGTGATCACCCTGATTGAAGCTGAATGCAAAAATCTTAATGCTGACGAAATGGATGAGGATATTGAAACCTCCATTATTACTTCAGCATCAATTATTTTAAACAACAGAAAACGATCAAGGATCTCCGAGCTATCAACCAAATGCAAAATAGTCATCTTAAATCTGTAACCTCTATTGTCAATACTTTGGTCAAGTCTTGCTTTTCATTCTAATCAATTTTGATTAAACATGATCTTCTTTCCAAAGATCAAGTTAATAATATTTTGGCAATAGGCATGTTGTATGATCAAGAAATGAAGTTGTACTCCAAAACCTCTCTCAATAATTTATTAATATGAATACTGTCACTACCGTTGATGATGCACTAGCTGCACAAGCTGATATAATCAATAATAATACCTTTCTCTTTCCATCCCTCTCTTTCGCAACACACAATATTCGTTCTTTCACTAACTCCGCAAAGCAACACACTCTTCTAGAACTCTATTCTTCATTAAATATTGATGTAATAGACCTACAAGAAACTAACTTTTCCAAAAACAATATATCCCCTTTTTATTTGAATTTTGCTCAAAAATACATTGGTTTTTTTGGCATGCAATCTCACAACCAAACGCAAACTACTGGTTTTGGTGTCAGCCTTTTGCTAACCCACAACTAGCTAATCATGTATTTCGACATGATTCTTTCCTTAACTGAATTATATTTACAGACCTCCAATTCTTAAACAAACAAAAATTGAGAATTATTAATTGTTATATACCTCCAGCTGATATCGATACAAAAAAATGGGTCTATACTAAATTATTTAAAATATTACGTTCAGTAACATCAGACAACTTTCACATTTTTGTGTTAGGTGACTTTAACGCTGACATAGACAAACTCACTCTTCTTAAGACCGATAAAAACTTTTTTGATACGATTCAAAATATGAATCTTTTTGACTCCTGCAATATAATATTCGATAGATTACAAGTTAATTATCCAACTTTCTGATCTCATAATGCGACCTCACGAATTGATTACGTCTAGTCTACAGTAAATATCGCTTCACACCTCCTTAAATGTTCTACAGTAAATGTTCCTTCCACCATCTCAGATCACTCAATTGTAATACACAAATGTGAAAACTTTCTCAACATCAAGCTAAATAAGCGGAAGATACCTCTAAAAAAAACCTTCAACTTCGATAAAATGATCACGAAACTTTAGAGTAAATTTAGCGATAAAATAGATGCATATACTAAAGGTTGTGCTCTAATATCTCTCAATAATCATACTACTTTAGATCAAAATAAGTTGAACCGCTACTAGGACTTATTGCAGAAATGTATTCTCAAAGCCGCCGACAAAACCATACCATTAAGACAATCCAAAGGATACCACGAGATGAAACGATCACCTATTCTACTTAAACTTTATAAGAATATACGATTTTTATATAGATTTAAAAAGAGCTTAAAAAAATTTGTCACATCCTTATTATTGATAACAACTGGACAACAAATGTGAAGCGTTTCTATATTATAATGGAAGAGTTTCATTTCCCTTTGTTCAATTGCCACCGCTTTCGACTGTCGCTTTAGTTCAGTTGCTCATGTTTTATGTTGATCAAATTTTAGCTGAAATATTTGTTAAATCCAAACTCCACGAACATGAATACAAACTGAAAGCAATTCAACAGGCTCTTGAAAAAAGACTTGAAAATTATTCTTCCTCCCTAGCTAAAATGACTGATTCCATATTGGAACGTACTAGAAAACTATATTATTAGATATATGTATTGATAATTCTTCTCAATCACATGATTTGCTCATAGACGAAAATCAAGTGAAACAAGAAGTAGCACATCATTTTCAGATGGCTGCTGGTATGTCTCATGAAAATGTGAAGATCGATAAAGAGTAGATCCCATTGTATAGACCAATTGTTGGTATTGACAATTCCATTTACAATGAACTGATGACCCCTTCTGAAGCTGACGAATGGTACAATATTATTAACTCATTACCTGATAGCAAAGCGGCAGGTCCTTCTAAAGTTTCGAATGAAATGTTAAAACATTTGGGTCCTCTCTCTAGAAAACTTCTATGGTTCATAGTCTGTGGTTGTCTGAAACTATCATCATTACCACATAGGTGGAATCATGCGTTCGTTTATCCAATTCCAAAACCCAAACCATGGAAATATGATTTGAATAACACAAGACCTATTACGCTACTCAAATGCCCTCGTAAAGCACTCATCAAACTCTTCACTTGTCGCCTTTCCACTATTATGGTCAAGCACAACATTTTGAAAGGACTCAACTTTGCAGGTCTACCTTTTAAATCAACTTTTGAACCTCTCCATATTATTGATAACATAAAGTATGATGCTATGCACAACAAAAATGAACTTTGGGTCTTGTTACAAGATATGTCTAAAGCATATGATCGGGTAAATTTGTTTATGCTGATTAGAGTATTAGAACAACTGCATGTACCCTTTAACTTTATTCATTTCATTTTGAAATGTTTAGTAATCGTTATAACCAAATATTTATTATGTTTAGTAATACTGACTCATATCAGGTGATGTCAGGTATTGACCAAGGTGAAATTATTTCATTATTGTTATGGTGCATCTATTACAACCCCTCCTATGTAGAATCCAAAACTCATCGCATAGATATTCTCTTACACGCAAATGGAAGTCAAATGTCTTAACTAATTTAAAAGAATCCTCTACTATTAAAATATCAACATTAGCATTCATGGATGATACCCTGTGGATTGCAAAATCACGGGAGGATCTGGACCAAATCATACATATAGTGAATAGTTTTTACCAACTAAATTCCATTAAAGTAAACTGGGAAAAATCGGTCTTACTTACTAATAAAAATGACATTAATAATCCATTTACATGTAATTTCAATGGTACTCCTACTGTAATTCCTCCATTATCGATTAACGAATTTACAAGATATTTGGGAGTATGGATATCACTAGGGCGTAATAAATCATTTACCACTAAACTGGTCAAAAGCGAAGTTAAAAACGCGGTTACGATAATGCTTAAAAAATGACTTACTGACAAACAACTCACTTATATTTTTAATTCTGTCATTGTTCCAAAGATTGAATATCGAGCTCAACTAACGACCTTCACAGAGCAACAATGTCATCAGATTGTCTCTCCTTACAGAGCCTTTATGAAACAGAAATTATGACTGACGCGTTTCACGCCACATGTGTTTCTGCATTCACATCTTATATATAATCTCACCAATCTACATCAGAGATTATTTACTGCTCATAGCGAAGACCTCCTCTTTGCAATTAATGACAATAATCTTTTGGGAATTTTGATCAAACATAGACTTAAACAACTTCAACAAAAAGAATGGTTGGCTAACTCCCCATTAATATGTTGGCCTTATAAGACCCCTTTTAAAGATTCAGATTGGGTCGCAAATATTCTATATGAATGGAACAAATCTGATATCACAGTTCAAATACCTGCCAATGCTCATAACCTTATAAAAGGAGGAAATATTCCATTACATACAATAATCCTCGATCGTTACAAAGAATTTGCAGCGGCACTAAGGAAATATTCCTTACTCTTTATAGAACAACTTTCTCATGCGCATGGTCAATCAATGTTTACTTTCTCTGATCTCTCAATTTACCAAAACACTCCGCATATAGCAAGAATACTAAAATGGTTTACCATATTACAGGATTTACTCTCAGATCTGATTACAGGAGCATTGCGACAAAGGTGTTCCCACACAATAGAATGCTATTTTAATTTCACTCAACCAACTAAGATTCCTGGCAAGCAATCCTTTGTCTTGGGATGGAATTTGGGTAATAACCAGCCAATTATTGAAAAACTTCGACATTCTGATAATAATTCTGCCACTATACAACATTTCATCCCAACACACAATCAACATAGAAAGACAATATTGAAAGAATACATTAGATGTTTCATTCATAACCTACATACTGTCATATCTTCAACTGTTAACACTCCACATAATTCATGTTTCACTAATCTCTCACTTGATCTCTGTTTTACCATCCCAGTCAATTATAGTTGGTCTGAGTCTGGACCTTTCTGCTCATGGTCAATAGATCTATTAAAAGACCTGGCTGACTTCTTCTACAAAAAATTGCATACTGCATTAAGACTGCCTCTTGCATTCCCTAATACTCTTTTAACCTCACCGACGCTTATAGAAAAATATATTTCTTCCTCTCATTCGTCACATTTATTAACTTTAAGTTCACATTTTACAAATTGTTATGATCTTGAATTCTATTCCGATAGTTCACTTATTAATTTAAGAAAGCCTTCAATTAGAATGGATCTAGCCTGACTTCAAACTTCGCCTACTGCACCATTTATTTCGTATTCATCAACTTTCACCACCTCTTTTTCATCTTTGTCAGTCGCGGAGCTAGCAGCTATCTTTACGGCAATCTTAGTTGCTCCTTCCTAATGTCGAATTAAAATCTTCATTAATTCGAGTGTAGTTATCGCACAATTCAACAAATACAAAAATCTGTCAAATTATTTACTGTCTCAAAGACTCTTTTTGAAGATTACCAACGTTCATATTTGGCATTGCGTCTTCAACACTATTATAAAGATAAATCTTACTGTATCCCTAATCAAAGTGAAAGCACATACTGGAGACACTTTTAACGAAAAAGTAGATTCGCTTGTGAAACAATCGTTGTTCTCATCAGCTCTCCAAATCAATTTAAATGATGAAGAGCACTTTACGTTACTTTTCAATAACCTCTTTGTAGCTACTCCGATTCAGCCCTTTATTAAAGAAATTAAAAGAGCGGAAATACTGGCAGCATTCCTCAACCTAGACATTATTTCAAAATATCACTCCTCCGATGTTCACTGGCTTGCTACCCTTCACTGCATCACTGATAATATTGCTTCATGCGCAACATGTTACAATGCCTCATCTATTAAACAAAAAAAATCCATCGTTTACTTGAAATTCTTCCAACTTTAGAAGTTTTAAAGAAGTGGCATCCAACTATTTATCACTCGACATGAAAATGTATCAGATGTAATATTGAAATCGAGGATTTCTCGCATATTTGGAATTGTATCACTGTGCATAATGATCTGTCTAGACTGGTTAAACAGTCTAAACAACATCTCACATCACTGCTCGACTTCCAGGATCTCCCACAACAGATTAAACAGTCAAACATTTGGTTAATATCCTCTCTCACAGATTTTTCCTTCTTCGACATTATTAAAGGGTAATTCCTACAAGCCTTTACAATTTTATACTTTCTACTTTGGGAACTAAAGAAACTACATTTGCAGCTCTCTTATACTTTATGCATTTTGTTTTCGAACAATCACAGATGATGTGGACAAGGCGATGCTCATTATTTAATGATTTTGAAAAATCACACAATATTTGCGAACGGGATAAATGTTTACACGTCGAAGCTACAGAATATTCCTTTTTAACTTCTATGGAACTTATTAATCCTTCTGAACTCATTACTAACATGGTTCAAGTAGGATCACAATAGACAAATTTTTGGTGCAGTAGGAGCCAAGCCCTTTCCTTATTCTAGTCGCTGGAAGGTGAAAATGTAATTTAGGTTATGTTAGATTTTAGGAAAATGCAGGGTTAGTTTTGATTTAGTATAGTTTTATGATTATATTAGATAGAAATTTTTGTAAATTCTGATTTATGTATTATTTATATTTTAATATCAATAAAGTTTTTGCGAATCTACCGCACTTTAAAAAAAAAATAAATAATTAAATAAATTATTTTGAAACTCTTTCACCCAATACACAAAAATGACTAAAAAAACAAACAACGTAAAGAAACCCAATACTCGCAGACGTTCAAGTTCGCCTATTACTAGTAGACTAATTCCACCTCCAGCGAAGAGACTACAGCTTGATAACCAAGAACAATAACAACAACAACAACAACAACCAGAACCGTTCACCTCAACTTTAAAGAACTTTAGTACTTCAACCGATATGAAAGTAGAAAGCACTTCAACTTCTATCCCAACTGATAAAGGCAAAGCACCTGAAATGCATATTTCTCTGGTCAATAAAGAACCTTTAGACTATGACCAGTCCTTTGACGTTGCTGAAAATATGTTAGACAAAAACAACGGAAACAATGCTCTTCACTTCGAACGTGAAACTGGAGCTCCCATCTTTTTTGCCTTTTGCGCAGCAGATATTTTCCTCCCCAACAAACTGAATAAAGAAAAATGCAAACAACACTTTCACTGCTCTCTATGGTTTATTTTCTTGCCTTTGAACAAGCATCTCAGATTTGGAATGACCGTAACACTACTATGATTTAACTAGAATAGCAACTTTCTATTACTATAACTGACAAAAAAGAGAACTTTGTGTCCACTGGTTTTCCCTCTTCTTCTTATTCACAACTCTCTATTCCATTATTTTTTACTTCCTCCTTTAGATTTGGAAAGCAATGGTTGGATTTTTGGTACGATAGCGACCAGGCCTCCTGTACTGGATGGTTAAGTCTATTTAGAGTTTTCTTTAGATAGATTAGTCTGGGACGTTGCAAGGTTGGCTTTGATCTAGCATAGTTTATGATAGGTAGAAGTTTTCGTTTTTTTCTATTTTTGTTTTAATTTTGTATAAATTATTTTCAAATAATAAAGATTTTGCGAAGCT